CCCAACCTCGTGATCCATTCGCCTCGGCTTCCCAAAGTGCTGGGATTACAGGTGTGAGCCACCGCACCCGGCCCTGGTCTCTGCTTCTAATGAGACCTTGCCACTTTCCAGCACCAGGCAGGCGGTGCCCGCTGTGCCTCTGTGTCTCTCCCTTCTCTTTCATGAGCCCCCAGGGCAGCCCCCATGGTGCTCTGTCCATCATCGGGGATGTCCCTGGTGCCCAGCACAGCAGGAGTGAATGCCCGGGACCCGTTCTCCCTGGCTGCACAGCAGCGAGGTGCCAGTCGGTGCTGGTCAGGCCAGCCTCTGGGTCTTGGTGCGCCGCAGCTTCCCACCACCCTTGCATTTTCTCGTCTTAGGGCCACTGGTGGGTCTCACCTGGAAACTTCTCACCAACAGCCCATCTGTTACTTCACAGATCTTACCACACGGGAGCCATGCATGGCTTGGCTAAGGTCTCTGCCAGGGTCTCCTGGGGCTGCCATTCAGCTGTCCAGGACTCTGGTCTCCTATGGAGCCTGGCATGAGTTTCTCCCAGCCATTCATGCTGTGGCAGGATTTCCATCCTGCAGCTGTACTAGAAGGCGAGATCTGCTTCTAGGCACAACTCAGAGGCTCTGCCTCCCCTGCTCCTTCCTCCAGGAGACTGGGAGACCTTCCCTTCCATGTTGCCTGTGTCCTGGCTCTGTGGCCACTTGCTTCGGTTGACCCACGGCCCCTCCTTTAAACAACTGTCCTCTTTCTCTGACCTCTGTTTGTTTTTTGTTTGTTTTGTTTTGAGCCAGGGTCTCACTCTGTCACCCAGGCTGGAGTGCTGTGGCACGATCTCGGCTCACCACAACCGCTGACTTCTGGGCTCAAGCGATTCTCCTGCCTCAGCCTCCTGAGCATGCGCCCGCCACCATGCCCAGTTCATTTTTGTTTTTTTAGTGGAGACAGGGTTTCACCATGTTGGCCCGGATGGTCTCAAACTCCTGACCTCACGTGATCCACCCGCCTTGGCCTCCCAAAGTGCTGGGATTACAGGCATGAGCCACCTCTCATTGTTTTTAAAGCGTCCTGACCAGGACGCTTTTAGCTCTCTTTGTTTTTAAAGGGTGCCCTGGTAATTTATTCATTGTAATTTTTTTTCAGGGTAGCAGGTAAGAGGCTCAGTGGATAAGTTCTCGAAGACAGTCCTGAAGGCATGGCCTGCTAGGACTCCACCACCGTTTCTGTTGTTGTTGAGATGGAGTCTCACTCTGGAGTGCCGTGGTGCAATCTCACTGCAACCTCCGCCTCCTGGGTTCAAGTGACTGTCCTGCCTCAGCCTCCCGAGTAGTGGGACTAAGGCAAGTGTAGAGCCACAGCCCCACAGGGTTGTGGGGTGTCCCCTATCACTGTGCTGAGGTGCAGGATCAGAGGAGTAAAGAGATGGACACAGAAGGACTGGAGAAGAGCAGCTGGGCTGGGGGGCCACGCCACCTATGAGCAGAGACAGGGGAGGCCCCGAACGTCCAGGAGTATCTGTATTTATTGGGTACAAAAGACGGGGAAGGGTAGTGAGTGAGGTCATCTTAAGGACAGTGATAGGGTCAAGACAATCACGTGCGCAGTAAACAAGGGGTCCACCGCCACTAGGTCACCGAGGCTAGGAGGCGGGTCGTGCGCAGTGGAGAGCGCAGTGTGCAGTATCTCCATCTAGGGCAGGCTACTTCCAAGGAATTCTGTAGGAGGATGATCCGAGTTAGCGCAGTAGCGGAGCTGACCCGGTCTACCACCACCTGCTGGCAGCTTCCGATCATTTCTAGAGGAGGATCCGAGTCAGCACCCAGCTAGAGAGCCGACAAGTTAACAGTCACCAAGGTGCGATTGTACCGGAGGGGTTTTAAGCCCTCAGAGGCTCGCGGGATTGCCAGTCTGAGGGCAGCCTTCCAGAAGAACTGGATGCAAGGTACTACAACTCCTTTTTCAGGAGGAGAGGCTCTTGCTCCAAGCCTGCCGTAATACAGCGGGTATCTTTACAATACTGAACGCTGCTGCCTGGGCCATATATTCTTGTCCTGTTTTCCCTTAAATCATACTCTGCACTGCGGGTAACCCCCGACATGGGCACCGAGGAAGAAGAGCTGTGCAAACCCCAGGCACAATTAGTGCCTGAAGAATATCTTAGTTCATAGTGTTATTACTCAGCTATTTCCTTTATGTAATCCTTTATATATAATCATATATTAGTTTATAGAATTAGTGCCTGAAGTGTAACTTACTGATTCCATATATCCAGCTTATATAATCATACTTAGTACTTATATGTAGCATACTTAGTTCCATATAATCTTTCTATTTAATCATATAGGTACTGTAGTCAGAGCTGTACTGACACATTTAGTGCTGATTTGTAGAATCCTTCCATATAACCATATAGTAGTTTGTAGTAGGAGGAATGCCTAGACCAGTCACAGAACAGAAGCAGTACATGAGAAAACAGCCAGACCAGGACGAGAACCAAAGACCCAAGCGGTGGCGTCCCTGCCTGAAAGGGCATACGCTGTATGGCAGGCTTGGAGCAGGAGCCTCTCCTCCTGATAAAGGATTTGTAGTACCTTGCATCCAGTTCCTGTGGAAAGCCGGCCTCAGGCCTGAGATTCTGGAAATAACCAAGGGAGAGGAACCCCTCTGGTGTGACCAGTCACAGCGGCTGTACACCCTGTCAGCCTTTTCTCGCTTCTGTGCTAGCTCAGATCATCTTCCCATAAAATATCTTAGAGAAGAGCACATGTCTGTCAGCTCCCACTACATTAAGCTTACAGTATCCTTCTATTAGAAATCCTTTGAAGTCTCCAGCCCCCAGATAAGAATTGTTGTACACGACACCTGTTGCACACAGCCCACCTCCTTGCCTCGGTGACCTAATGGGGGTGGACCCCTCCTTTGTACATGACCCTCTACTACTGTGCCCGGCACGGCCCCCTACTGTGTACGGCCCACTCTCTGCCTGGGTGACATAATGGGGTGGCCCCCTCACCTGCTACTCACGTTGATTATGTGCGCCCTATCATTAAGCCTATAGATGACCTCACTCACGACCCTGTCCCACCCTGCCTTGTACTTAATAATTACAGACGCTTCTGGATGTTTGGGCCTCACCAGTCTCCACTCCTAGGTGGCATGGTCCCCTGAGTCCAGCTGCACTTCTCCAGTTCTTCAGTGTCCTGTCTCTTTCTCGGATCCTGCACCTCAGCATGGCATCAGGGACACCCCACGACCCTGTGGGGCCAACAGCCCTACACTGCACTGTGTCTGCTCTAGACATTCCTCTGACTATAAGCAAGATATGCTTATATATGTAGAGCTGTTTATCCCTTAATTCATGCTCTGTACCCTGTCTGCTCTAGACATTCCTCCGACTATGAACTAAGATATAATTATATGTGTATATATATATATATATATATATGGAAATAACCCAGTAGTAGGATATTCTTCAGGCACTAATTGTTCAGACTATAAAGTAATACATGATATTATATATAAAGGATTATATAAAGGAAATACCTGAGTAATAACACTATAAACTAAGATATTCTTCAGGCACTAATTGTGCTGGGGATCTGCTTAGTGCTCCTTCCTCGGTGCCCACATGGGAGGTTACCCACAGCAAGCACCACCACACATGGCTAATTTTTTTGGTGGAGATGGAGTTTTACTATGTTGGCCAATCTGGTCTCAAACTCCTGACCTCAAGTGATCCTCCCAGAGTGCTGGGATTACAGGCGTGAGCCACCTTGCCGGCCTAGATTTGGCTACTTTTGGATCAATAAATCCAGAGTGTTCTAGACTATGAACTTGCCCTTGATCATGGACATTCGCCACTTGCGGCTGCCGAGTGGAAGTGGCTCTGTGTCTCACCTCACACTGTGAGGACCCGTTCCCAAACAGAATTCCACATTGGCTTTCCAGGGTGCGGGCTGTTCCCGGGATCTGAACTATCCGCGGGCTCCAGAGTTGCTTGAGTCCACTCCCCAACCCCCATGTCCCTGCCTGAGTCTGGCCTTGGGTTTTTGATGGTTTCTCGGGGCCCTCGTGTGGGGCCTCCCCCTGTGGAAGAGCAGGAGGGTAGCGGTGGGGGGGTGACTCTGGAGGAGGCAGAGTCCCGGGTGTCCGTGGGAAGCTCCAAGGCCCGGCCACGGGACGGCTACCCTGGGCTGTGGCGCAGTTCAGGATCTCCTTTGAGGCACCTGCGGGAGGCCGGGGCTGGGTCCCAGGACCCGGACTGCCAGGGGCTGCCAGCGAGGGGCGGGACAGGGGGGCGGGGCTGGAGGGGAGGAGCGGTAGGGCGGGCGGAGGTGGGGCCGAAGCAAGGGCGGGGCCTGGGGCGGGGCTGTCTGGTGAGCGGGGCTTCCAGGTGGGCGGGGGTTTCCAGGTGGGCGGGGCTGGAGGGGAGGAGCGGTCTGGCGGGCGGAGGTGGGGCCGAAGCAAGGGCGGGGCCTGGGGCGGAGCTGTCTGGTGGGCGGGGCTTCCACGTGGGCGGGGCTGCCGGCCCTGGGGTCTGAGCGGGCCGGAGAGGCCCGGGCCGGGTCTGCCGACTCCTAGAAGTTCAGGGCGCGAGCCCGGAGTTGGGCCTGGGAAGGGGGCACCGCTTTCCCGGTTCTGGTGGGTGGGGAGTGAGGGGAAGGGCAAAAGCAGCACAGGGAACAGCATGACAGGGGCCCGTGGCAGGCCGCATTTGGAAAGGCGAGGAGAGGGCAGTGGCCTCTGGCACGGCGCCAAAGGGCCTGGAGAGGCAGAAGGGCAGGGTCGCAAAGAGTCTGCCCCGCGTAAGGAGCCGATACTGTGTCCAGGAGGCAGTGGGGAGCTCCGGAGAGTGAAGCGCCTTGGAGTGCCGGAGCCTGCAGGGCAAGAGAGGGTCTTCATCAGACCCGCGACGTCCCACTGGGATGCGGAGGGAAACGGTGATTCCTACTTCTACCTCGCCTCTTTTAGATGTGCGTTTGTTGTTGTTCTTTGCTACAGAATCTGTCGCCCAGGCTGGAGTGCAGTGAGTGGCGTGATCTCGGTTCCCTGCAGCCTTGGCCTCCCGGGCTCGAGCGATGCCCCCTCCCCTCGCCTCAGCCTCCCGAGTAGGTGGAACCACAGGCGCCTGCCACCACGCCCCGCCAATTTTTAAAAAATATTTTTTACTCGACATGGGGATCTCACTATGTTGCTCCGGCTGGTTTGAAACTCCTGGACTCAAACGATCCTCCTGTCCAGGCCTCCTGAAGTGCTGGGATTACATTCATGAGCCACTGCGCCCGCCCGGCCTAAGTGTTTTAATTTTTATGTTTTACAGTTGCTTCTAATTTGTTACAAATAAACGTTTAGCATGTGGCGTGGTGTTCATGTGTTTACCGGTGCAGTGCGCAATGAACCCGGTTCCAGGCACCACATGTGGAGGCCCAAAGGCGGAAGCCCGGTGGCGCCGGCGCGCAGCAGGAGACTGCCGGAGGCGCGGGCCGGGACCTGGGCTCCCAGCTCTGTGGTCCTCCTGAGTCCAGGGTCCAGTCCCAGGGGCGCGTCTGGCCCTCTGCTGCTGTCTCCTTAGGGTTCTTTCATGGGGATCGGTTCTTCAGCCTTTCTTTCTCCCCAGAGAGGCTCTCGTGGCAGGAGGGAACGCGTACTTTCCGCAGCTGTACTTTGCACTCATGATAAAAGCGTCACTTTTGCAGCATTCCAGATGCATGGCCTTCGGTCTGCGGCAGGCGGCAGCGCGAGGGGCTTGGACAGGAGGTGCGTCTTGCTGAACGAACGAGGGCTCGGGCCTGGCGAGCCAGAGCCCAGCGCAAGCGAGAGGCGGGTAGCAGCGGCTTCTCGGCCGAGGAGACGCGAGCGGCGTCCTGCAGGAGGCGCTCGGCCCCAGGGAAGCCCTCGCTCGGGACCCGCGTGCTGCCACAGCCCCGGGGGCCTGGAGGGGCCCGTGCGCCCAGCGCAGGGCCCGGGACACGTGCGGGGCGCCGGGGGGAACGGCCGGAAACGCGCGTGGTGTCCCCACTGCGGGCCTCCGACGCCTCCTGCCACGTCCTGCAGGCGCCCGGGCCGGGTCCGCGGCTGTCTGCAGCCGGACCCCGGTGCGCAGGCGGCTCGACCTCGCCCTCCACGAGGCGGGGCTTCCTGGGCTGCAGGACGGACTCGGCCGGCGCCTGCGGGCAACCGCAGAGCTGAAGGCGCAGGGCCGGGGCAGTCCCGCTCTCCCAGGCCGCCGAGCGCGCGGTCCTCCCGCGGCCCAGAGCGTCGCCGGAAGTGCCGAGGGGGCGGGCCAAGGGTGGCGACGGCGGCGCTTCCGGCGCGTGGCGCGGCGGGGACCGTAGCAGGTGCAGCCCGGCCGCCCTGCACGAGGCGGCTTCGACTTCTGTTGTTCGTGCGTGGGCTCGGGAAGGCGGAGGGCGCGGCGGAGAGAACGGGACTGGCCCGACCGCACAGGCCCGCGCGTCGCGCCCTCCCCTTGCAGCACAGGCCCCAGCCGCTCTCGGGCGCCGCGCGGGGGAGGCGGCCCTGCAGGGGCGTCCCCGGGGCGCCGACGCGTGCCCGGCTTCGTGCGAGCCGAGTCCCCCCGCGCGTCTCCGGGCCTTTGTAAGTTGTCAAATTTCCCACCAGCCCTGCGGATCCAGCCTCTTCCCAGCTGGGAACAGGAGGGCCTGGTTCCTAATTCTGGCCGGTAAGGTGTTCCTACTTTCAAAAATCTGCTTTCAGACTTAAAAATTGCACTTTAAATTGCGTTTTTGTAAAAGAGGAGGCGTCCCCCTATGTCACCCAGGCTGGCCGTCTACACCTGGGCTCAAGCGATCCTCCCGCTCAGCCTCCCTGGCAGGTGGGATTACAGGTGGCTTAAATTAAATTTACTAATTACTTTTTTATTTACTTTTTTTATTTTTTTTTAACACAGGGCCTCCAACGCCCACCTGTAGTGCAGGGGCGCAATCTCAGTTCACCCCAGCCTAGACCTGGGCTCAGGCAATACTCCCACCTCAGCCTCCCTAGTAGCTGGGACTACAGATGCCTACCATCACGCCTGGCTAATTTTTTAATTTTTTTGTGTGTGGGGACGGGGGTCTCACTGTGTTGTCCAGGCTGGTCTGGAACTCCTGCACTCAGCCAGCCCTCCATCCTCAGCCTCCAAAGTGCTGGGATTACAGGTGTGAGCCACAGCGCCCAGCCAAATCACATTTCTTTCTTTTTTCTTTTTGAGAGTCTCGCTCTGCTGCCCAGGCTGGAGTGCAGTGGCGCGATCTCAGCTCAGTGCAACTTCCACCTCCCCCTCCCGGGTTGAAGCGATTCTTCTGCTTCAGCCTCCCGAGTAGCTGGGATTACAGGCGCACCACCCTGCCCGGCTAATTTTTGTATTTATAGTAGAGACGGGGTTTCACCGTGTTGTTCAGCCTGGTCTCCAGCTGCAGACCTGGTGATCCGCCCGCCTCGGCCTCCAAAAGTGCTGGGATTACAAATGTGAGCCACCACCGCCGGCCAAATCACTTTTTTTTTTTTTTTGAGACGGAGTCTTGCTCTTGTCACCCGGGCTGGAGTGCAGTGGCGCAATTTCGGCTCACTGCAACCTCCATTTCCCGGTTCAAGCGATTCTCCTGCCTCAGCCTTCCAAGTAGCTGGGTCTACAGGCACCCACCACCATGCCCAGCTAATTTTTGTATTTTTAGTAGAGACAGGATTTCACCATATTGGCCAGGCTGGTCTCGAACTCCTGACCTGATCTGCCCGCCTCGGCCTCCCAAAGTGCTGGGATTATGGGCATGAGTCACTGCACCAGGCCCAAATCGCATTTCTTAATTGCACTTGAGGTGGAACTTAAAAAAATATATTGCCTATTTGTTCTTTGTGAGTTACCTGTTCATGATTGTTGCCATTTTCTTTCCTTTCTCAATAATATGTAGAGGTCTTTATCAGGTAGGGATGAAGCTTTGCGTTGCATGTATTCCCCCTTTCTGGTTTTTGGGTTTTTTTTTGTTTGTTTTTTTGTTTTTTGTTGTTACCCAGGCTGGAGTGCAATGGCGCGATCTCGGCTCACCGCAACCTCCGCCTCCGGGGTTCAGGCAATTCTCCTGCCTCAGCCTCCCGAGTAGCTGGGATTACAGGCACGCGCCACCATGCCCAGCTGATTTTTTGTAGTTTTAGTAGAGACGGGGTTTCACCGTGTTGGCCAGGATGGTCTCGATCTCTTGACCTCGTGATCCACCCGCCTCGGCCTGCCAAAGTGCCGGGATTACAGGCGTGAGCCACCGCGCCCGGCCGGTTTTTGTTTTTTTACATTAGATTTTTTTATGTAGTTAAATTTGTCAGACATCTGATGTCAGGCTTAGAAAAATCATTCCTCAGTCCAAAACTTTACCATTGATATAATTTGTTCTTTTTTTTTTTTTTTGGTTTAACATTTTAATATTCAAATCCTCTTAACTATCAAGAAATTTAAAAACCCGTGGAAATTTCTCTAGGCATTTGAAGACTGTGGGAGGGTTGCGGGCTTGCTCGGCATGGAGCTAGGAAGCTGTGGCCATGCCCACCTGTGCTCTGCCTCAGCCCTGGGTCTGGGGGGACTGGCAGAGCGTGGACCAGAGTTCCTGGGCCTCCCGCAGAACACCCGCTTCTGGGAGTGTCTGGTGAGCCAGGACCTCGATTGCTAGTGACAGGGGTGGCCCCAGCTGGGTGATGCAGCTACCATAGGGCCTGTTCTGACCTCACTGCCCCTCGCCCCTGTACCTAGCCCTGGCTGTGATTTATTTTTCTTTTATCTAGGCAGAAATTGTTCCCACTGCTGGTGTTCTGCAAGGTGGAGCCCACAGGTGCCAAGGGGAGCAGTACCCTGATGGAGGCCCCTGCAGGTGAGGGGACATGTCCACAGTCGGGCCCAGGGTCCCTGGGCAGAAATTGAACAGGAATACAGGAAAAACACCAGGTCTCGGTCACTGATTCAGAGCATGTACCGTGTCCTTGCGCGCAAGGTCAGAGAGGGAGGTAAACGCAGGCCCATCAGCTCTCCTGGGCATCCATTTGGTGACTGTCTTTGCCAGTGGACTGATGCTTTTGGTTAGAAAGTGGCCACCCCAGGCGCGCCTCTGGGAAGGTCTCTTGGTGCTTCTCAGCCTTGGCCTTGTGGCCATTTGGGCTGGACAAGTCTTTGTGGAGGGGCTGTCCCGTGCCGCGTAGGACGTTCAGCAGCATCCTCGCCTCTGCCCACTTGGTGTCAGTAAAACATCTACACGTTGTCACCTGTGCACTTGGGACAGAAACCCCCGTGAGAACACTGCTTTACGTTTTGGGCCTGTGCGGCCACCCTGAGTATGTCACAGTGATGGGGGCGGGGGCAGCACAGGCCCTGCTGTGGGGGCCGGGATCGGCTGTTGGGAAGGATCCTTAGGCCTGCAGGCTGGATCCAGTGGCGCTCTACCGTGTATGTGGCCCCTTCTTGTTACAGTTTTAGTTCTTTTTCCTCGTAAGCAATACCTTTGAGTCAGTTCTTGAACTTCCAAGTCTGCAAACCACAAGACCAAGGCTGGGCCTCTGGCAGGGAGATTCTGTTTAGTGCACCACACTCAGCCTCTCCTGCCCCAGCTGCTCAGTGTCATGGGCCTGCCAGGGCAGAGAGGTGGGGACCGTCAACAGCAGCCTGCTCTCATCTGCCCAGGAACATCCCTGCCCCCGCCCCATGGGAGTTTCTGTCAAATCTGCACCCTCCACGTTCTCGAGAGGTGTAGCTGGGACTCAGCCGCTTGTCCTCCGCTGCCACAGCTGACTGCCTGCAGGTGGAGAAGCCCCGCTCAGTTGCTGCGCTGGCCTCGGAGGCCCCCATCCTCCCACTGCTGCTCCTGGCTGAGCCCTCCTGCCTCCTACGCAGGCCGAGGTCAGTCACCAGCTTTCTCATGTTCCAGGGTTTTGCCCCTACTCTTAAGGCTTTTGTCTAAATGGCCACATGTTATGTTCCTGTGAGCCAGTGGAACCAAGTCCAACTAGTGGCTTCACTGCCTGACAACAAGGGCCATTACCATGTACCCGGGACGGGCTGCTCAGCTCAGCCAGCGCCACCGCCCAGCCCTCATGGGTTGCTGCTTCCAGCCCTTGGTACGGATTTGTCTGCGTGAGGACGCTCCCATTTGCACGTAACAGTTTGGTGTTTCGGGGGAGTCGTTCAGGAGGCCGTGTTGTCTCAGGGAGTCCAAGGGAACGAGCTGGGGCCATGGCTGGGTGCGGTGGCTCACGGCTGCAATCCCAGCACTTCAGGAGCCCAGGAGGTCAAGACCAGCCTGGGCAAAACAGTGAGACAGCACCTCTACAAAAATTGTTAAAAACAGTCTGGCATGGTGGTGCCCACCTGCAGTCCCACCTACTTGGGAGGCTGCAGTGAGCTGTGATGGCACCACTGCCCTCCAGCCTGGGTGATAAAGCAAGACCCTGTCTCACAAAAAAGGAAGGACAGACAGATGTAAGGCAGAGCTGGGCCATGGACTGTGTTGGGCACCATTGTCCCCGAGCCTCCTGCATCTGCCTTCCCCCTGCCCTGGCTCAGTGCTAGCCGTCTCTACCCTCCTTTGCTTTCCCAGCTGCCCTGCAGAGTAAAACAGTGCCCAGAGCCTACGTTTCTGTCACCTCCCCTCCCAGGACTGGGTGGGCTGAGGCTAGAGGTTTAGAGCGTTTGTTTGTATATTTTTTAAATTTAATTTAAAAGACAGGATTTTACTACGGTGGCCAGGCTGGTCTTGAACTCCTGGTCTCAAGTGGTCCTCCCGCCTCAGCCTCCCAAAATGCGGGGATTACAGGTAGGAGCCACCCCCCCGCCCCACAGCCCTGTTTCTGGAGTGGCAGTGCGGGACTCTTACCCACCTTGTAACTACAGGGGTTGAGAAAGTAGGCGGGAACTGAATGGGCAAAATCAAGTGTCTGTGGCACTCTGACGTCAGTCATTGCTTTGCCGTCATACCACAACGGCCAGAGCCAGCCTGGACTCAGCGTTCTCTTGCATCTACAGTCACTCCTCCTGTCTGGCCTCTCTTTCAGCTGTGAAGGCCGCTTTCCTGGCGCAGGCCCCGAGTGGCAGCCGGCCAGCGGAGGAGCAGGCAGCTCGGAGCACAGGTCCTGCACCACAGCCCGGCGCCCCCAAGGGAGAGGGCCACAGAGGGGGGCCTCCCTGGGCGCCGGGGTCTCTTGGCCTTTGTGAAAATGAGGAAGCTGGAGAACGGCCCCGAGGTTCCCCTCGAGGCCCGGTCATTTCTGAGAAAACCGGAGGACAGAGTGGCGGCGAGTCAAGCCCCGGGGCAGGGGGAAGGCATGACTGGAAGGGGCGGCCCTTCCCGTGCAGCGCCTGCGGCCTCAGCTTCAAGTGCCCCTCCGACGCAGCGAAGCACCGCAGCATCCACTCGGGGGAGAAGCCGTACGCGTGCAGTGACTGCGGCAAGGCCTTCATCCACAGCTCGCACGTGGTCCGGCACCAGCGCGCGCACAGCGGGGAGAGGCCCTACGCGTGCGGCGAGTGCGGCAAGGCCTTCAGCCAGAGCTTCAACCTGCTCCGCCACCAGCGCGTGCACACGGGCGAGAAGCCCTACGCCTGCCAGGACTGCGGCAAGGCCTTCGGCCAGAGGTCGGACGCCGCCAAGCACCGCCGCACCCACACCGGGGAGAGGCTGTACGCGTGCGGCGAGTGCGGGAAGCGCTTCCTGCACAGCTCCAACGTGGTGCGGCACCGGCGGACCCACCACGGGGAGAACCCGTACGAGTGCCGGGAGTGCGGCCAGGCCTTCAGCCAGAGCTCCAACCTCCTCCAGCACCAGCGCGTGCACACGGGCGAGCGGCCCTTCGCCTGCCAGGACTGCGGCCGCGCCTTCAGCCGCAGCTCCTTCCTGCGCGAGCACCGCCGCATCCACACCGGCGAGAAGCCCCACGAGTGCGGCCACTGCGGGCGCGCGTTCCGGGCGCTGTCGGGCTTCTTCCGGCACCAGCGGCTCCACACGGGCGAGAAGCCGTTTCGCTGCACTGAGTGCGGCCGCGCCTTCCGCCTGAGCTTCCACCTCATCCAGCACCGGCGGGTGCACGGCGCCGAGTGAGCCGGGGTGCGCGGTGACCAAGTGGCAGAGCCGGCTGCCCGCCTGCCTCTCGGGCTGCGAAAGCCTCGCCGGGGTGCATCCCCCTTGGCTCTGGGAAGGGGAGGCGCTTCCCCGCGGCAGGGCAGGCCCCAGGGGTCTGTACCCGGCCTGCCACCGCCCGCTGCCGAGACGCCTCCCCTCCCATGGTCAGCTGCAGCGACTGTCTCATTTCCTGCGGGGGGCACTGGCCGGTGATTGAATCGGTCATTCCTACAGCCAGGCCTCCAGCAAAACCCTGCATGGGGCTCGAGCTTTGGGTTGGTGAAGGTGGGGGGTGGTTAGGCAGGGGGCGCCCAGCGAGGGCGTGGAAGCCTTGTGCCCTCCCCCTGTGCTTTGCCCGTGAGCGGTTCATCCGTGTCTTTTCAGTTAGCTGGTCCATATGGTCCCGATGTGTGTGCTTAGAAAAGTATGGAGCCTGGCCCGACGCGGTGGCTCCCGCCTGTAATCCCAGCACTCTGGGAGACCGAGGCGGTGGATCACAAGGTCAAGAGATCGAAACCAGCCTGGCCAACATGGTGAAACCCCTTCTCTACTAAAAATACAAAAATTAGCTGGGCATGGTGGTGTGCACCTGTAGTCCCAGCTATTTGGGAGGCTGAGGCAGGAGAATCGTTTGAACCCAGGAGGCAGAGGTTGCTGTGAGCCGAGATTGCACCACTGCACTCCAGCCTGGCTCAGAGCAAGATTCTGTCTCAAGAAAAGAAGTATATATGGAACCTGAGAAGGGGGATGTGGGGACCCCGGGGCCCACCATGTGCACTTGGCCTCTGAAGTGGGCTGGTCTTGTAGGACTGACCCCTTACCCTGTGGGTCTGTACTAACGGCCGGCAATCCGTTTCAGAATCGAGTTACATTGTAGGACATCCCGCTGGTGTCAGAGGTGGAGAGCTGCTTGGTGTGTGTGGGGGGGGGGAGGCTCTCACACACGTCATGTCAGGAGCATTCTGCAGGTAGAAGAATCGTTTTCTCTTTGAAACAGTGTTATGGGTATGTACAAATATTATTTCCTGTAAAAGAGTTTTGATTTTTTAAAATGTCATTTCCCAGATAGAAAAGAAGTGTCCCTTTGGGGAACATTTTTGGGGGCATATAGTAAAGCTCTGCCTTCATGAATTAAGCAAAGAGGTGGTTTTAAGTTTCTTGGGATGACTGAGGGAAATGTGAGCCGCCCAGAGGCCTGGGGCGCAGCTAGAGATTCCCCTGCAAGGCACAGGGGAGGGCAAAAGACTTCCATGCCCTCTCTGGGCGCCCCCTTCCTAAATGTCCCCGTCTGGCTGTGGCTTGGAACTGCCTCCTGCAGTTCTCTGCTCCAGGTAAGGATTGACTGGGAAGAATTCCGGGCCTGTCGCTGGCTGCCATTTCCAAGACAGTCATATTGTTTCCACCGCTCTTGTTGGCACCGATTTTGTTAGAATGCATTAACTTAGGGTTGTGAATCCTGTAGGGGCAGATTTGGTGGCCCCGAAGTTAATTAATCTCCTGACTCCTGGGCCAGTGGTGAGGTGGGAAGATGAGCCTGTGTCTCCCATGCTGAGCCAAGACCCTCAGGTCAGCTGAAGGTGACCTTCCAGGTACCCATAGAGGTCAAAGCACCTGCCCTCGGAAGGAACTTGCCCTGCTTAGCCTCATCCGGCTCATAAATCAGGCATTCAGCTTGCAGTCAAAGATCCCCAAGCATAAGGAGAGTCAGCTGACTGAGGGCCAGCAGAAACAGCAGGCAGCTGACAGCAGCTACAAGAACTCAGATCCTGAAACCCACCATATAGGTGAGAGATAGTTATGTACGAGGTGTTTAGAGAAGTCACAGAGCCACAGTGATGAGAAAGCTGGAGGATACACACACTCATGCACAAATAGGCAAGCCTTCTTAAAGAACTTTTGGGACACCTGGAGGCCTAGGAGGGAGGATCACTTGAGCCCAGGAGTTCAAGACCAGCTTAGGCAACATAGGGCTGGGTGCAGTGGCTCATGCCTGTAATCCCAGCACTGTGGGAGGCTGAGACAGGCGGATCACCTGAGGTCAGGAGTTGAAGACCAGCCTGGCCAACACGGTGAAATCCTGTCTCTACTAAAAATAAAAAATTAGCTAGTCGTGGTGGTACATGCCTATAATCCCAGCTACTCGGGAGGCTGAGGCAGAAGAATGGCTTAAACCCAAGAGACAGAGGTTACAGTGAGTCGAGTCAAGATCGTGCCACTGCACTCCAGCCTGGGCGACACAGTGAGACTCCATCTCAAAAAAAAAAAAAAAAAAAAAAAAAAAAAAGGTAAAGGTTAGGAGGAATCTGACCCAGAGTCGCACACGTGAAGACACGAGGGAGGCAGAGCCAACCAAGAGAAGGAAAGTCAAGCTCAGGTCCTGGGAGGTGAGAGGCGGTCGTGTGCCGTGCAAAGCCCAGAATAATGTTTTAAACAGGCAACTCAAAAATACTGGGCCGGGGGAGGTGGCTCACACCTGTAATCCTGTAATCCTGTAATCCCAACACTGGGAGGCCGAGGTGGGCAGATCACTTGCAGTCAGGAGTTACAGACCAGTCTGGTCAAGATGGCAAAACTCCATCTCTATTAATGATACAAAAATTAGCTGCATTACCTGGCACGCACCTGTAGTCCCAGCTACTTGGGAGGCTGAGGCATGAGAATTGGTTGAACCCGGGAGGCGGAGGTTGCAGTGAGCCAAGATCACGCCACTGGACTCCAGCCTGGGCGTCACTCAGTGAGACTCCACTTCCAAAAAATTAAAAAATGATATATTGGAAATGGAAACATGATAGGCAAAATTAGCAAGAAGGCAGAAAGCGGGGAAATCTTTCTGAAAGAACGAAAAGGCAAAGAAGGTGGGTGATGGGCTAGAAAGGTTAAGACCAATGGGAATTCCAAGGGGCGAAAAACAAAATCGGCAAATGGTGGGAATGAAATTGTTAGAGAAACACGAGTCTCCAGAGTGAAAGCACCTGCCAGCGTCCTGCACAAAGATGCTAGTGAGACAGCACATGTCTTTCTCACAGCAGGTGTGCGTGTCCCACCCCCAGCCGTCCCCACTGGGAGTGCGCAGCTCGTGCTGCGTACAGGGCAGAGCAGGGGCGACGGCCGCAGCTGCAGTGTGGCCCACTCGTGGCTGTGTGACCTTAGGCCGGTTACTTAACCTTTCTGTACCTCAGTTTCCTCATCTGAAAAAGACATAGCAGTACCTATGTCATAGAGGACTGACCAAAAGCAGTGCCAGACACACAGCAAACACCTCACTGCAGCTGCTCCCAGTACCCTGGGACCCACAGCTCAAAGCTGCCGACGCTCCTGGCAACCTGCATCGGGCAAGCAAAGGCCTGCACTGGTCTACACAGCATTCCCACCCTCCTCCACCAGGGACACGGAGGGCAGGCAGGCCAGCACTGGTCTACACAGCATTCCCCTGGGGACACGGAGGGGAGGTGTGCCTGGGTTGGTCTACACAGCATTCCCCTGCCGGGGACACGGAGGGGAGGCAGGCCTGGGCTGGTCTACACAGCATTCCCCCTGGGGACACGGAGGGGAGGTGTGCCTGGGTTGGTCTACACAGCATTCCCCTGGGGACACGGAGGGGAGGTGTGCCTGGGCTGGTCTACACAGCATTCCCCTGGGGACACGGAGGGGAGGTGTGCCTGGGCTGGTCTACACAGCATTCCCCTGGGGACATGGAGGGGGTGTGTGCCTGGGCTGGTCTACACAGCATTCCCCCTGGGGACACGGAGGGGAGGCGGGCCTGGGCTGGTCTACACAGCATTCCCCCTGGGGACACGGAGGGGAGGTGGGCCTGGGCTGGTCTGAGCTGGCACCATTTGTACCGGCTGCCTTGGGCCTTCTCCCACGCCGTCTGGCTGTCCCCGTCTGTCTGGCTCTCCCTGCGGCTTCGCTGCCTCCTGGCCGTTTTTCTTCTCTCGCTGTGGACACCTCAGCATCAACTGGCTTCTCCTTCCACTTGTCTCTGCCTCCAGCTGGCTTCTGGCCACCCCAGCTTTCCCTTCTTGGGGTTTTTCACCAGTCCCCCACCTCCCAGCTGCCCTTCGCCCAGGGCAATGGCAAGCGCCCCCCCCCCACCCGCTGAGGTGCCCCGCCCAGCTCACTCTCACACTGCACTTTGTCTTCCTCCAGGTCCTGTGTTTTAATTTTCGTATCTTTGGTTTCGAGTCCCTTCCTCCCCAGTTTTGTCTTCCTCCTTTTCTTTTCTGGAAACCAAGGCCTCCTGTCCCACCTTGGTGCCATTACCTAATTTGCCACCTCCTTCTTTCCTGGTTTTTCCCAGCCACACTTCTTTTCATCTTCCTTCTGTGCTCAGCTCCTGCCCTGTGACTCTCCCTCCTCCTCAATGTCGCCCAGGCTCCTCCTCTGTGCTGGGGTGAGCACCATGCCCCTGCTGTGCACCTGCTCCTGGCCATGCTCCGCACCTCCCCTGTGGGGCCGCTCTGTCCATCCCCCCTGCCCAGCGCACCTCTCCTGTGGGGGCCGCTCTGTCCATCCCCCCTGCCCAGCGCACCTCTCCCGTGGGGGCCGCTCTGTCCGTCCGCACTGCCTGCCCAAGTGTGCTCCTCCCTGGCCCCACCGTGGCCCGTCTTCTGCTCCCCGCAGCTGAGGGCCTCAGGCCTGCCCCTCCTGTCCCCGCTGCCTGCTTCTCACACTGCCTGGATGCATCTCCCCACACATTTGTCCTCAAGCCCTCTCTCCCCTTTCTCTTCGGAATTTCTTTCTTTTTTCTTGGTTTGTGCTTCCTTTCCACACAGCCCTCGCCCCGGCCAGCGTCTCACGGACCAGGTCCCCTCCAAAGGCCCCCTTCTGGCTGGGCACCTCCTGCAGCGCTGCATCCTTCTCTCTCCTGGGTTCCAGGGCCTTGGGCACATGGACTGAGGGCCATCTTCATCCCATTTGCAGGACCTCTGTGCAGCCTGGGAACCTTGCCCAAAACACAGTACACACCATGAGAGGGGCCACATGGTCACGAGCCCCCTGCACGGAGGCGCCAGAGGAGGAGGGAAGATTCACCTCCCCACCCGAGCAATGACGGCTCTCCGTGGACCTAACAAATGTTTTAACTGAGCTTTGGAAGACGGCTTCTTGACCTCGACCCTTGTGGCCTCTGTCAGGAGCAGAAACCAAGGGAGTGAACAAAGGGGCCGGGGGTCAGCTTGGGGCTGATTTCTGAAAACCATGTTAGAGCCCTACTGAGGCAGAGGCCTGGGCCGGCAGAGAAAGGTAAGGAAGCCCCGCCACAGCACAGGTGGCAAGCAGGATTAATGCATGGATTCCATGTGGGATCCAGGCAGGGGGGCCCTCAAAGATGACGCCGAGGTCTGTGCCTGAGAAGACAGAAGGCGCAGCTCCACCGAATCGAGAGGACCAGGGAGGGAAGGGTGGCAGACACCCATGCTCCTCTCGGGGTGTGCTGGCTGCAGAGGCCTGGAGTCCCAGGGGAGGCCTCCTCTGCCGCAGCCCAGCTTAGCCCTCCTGCCTGAGGAAGGAGGCGAGGAGGGCCACCAGAGGGACAGGCGAGGAACTACCCCAGAGCAGTGGCAGGAGCTCGGGCGGCTCCGGCAGACCCTGAGACCCCACCCCCGCTGGCCAAAGCAGCTGGCCCCCCGTCCTCTGGGACTCCCCCAGCCCCACACCCACCCAGGAGACAAAGGCAAGGCTCCCACTCCCTTACTCAACAAGAACCCCTGTGCCCCCTGCCCACCACACGGCACCATTCCCCAGCTACAAGGACACAGATGGTCACACAGACCCCACAGTGATCCCTGCCACTCCCAGACGCCCCTCCCCAGTAATCCCTCTGGTGGGGGACGTAGTGGGGGAGGCGCAGACGTTGCCCCGTCAACAAGCCAGGCTCCGTGGCATCCGGAAGTGCAGGGCCAGCACCTAAGGTTAACTGGTATGACCGACCGGGCAAGGACACCAAACAGTGGAGGAGGAGCGACCTCAGCTGAGCGAGGTGAGCAATAGGAACAGGGCCAAGCAGGAGACGGGTGGATGGGCGCCGAGCAAGGAGCCACCCAGCACCGGGAGAGCTGCTGCGGCCACAGGCAGGGTCCATCACAGCCACCGGCATCAGCACATATTCTGGGTGGAAAAATTACAAAGAAGGGACAGCTAAAGTTTTACATAATAAAAGACCCAGGGGCCATGTTAAAAGGTGACTCATTCTCTACCTCATCCCAACTCAGTGACACGATTCTGGCTCCACCTGGGACAGCACAGGGGTTGTAAAAAGGGGACCCGTGGGAGACTCTCCAGACAGGTCCCAATTCCCGCACACACACACCACACTGCAGGCACCAGCCAGTCCTTCCCGAGGAGCTGACCCTCACTGGACAGAGCCACACGCTGAGGCAGAGCCCGCAAGCCCAGTGGCAGCCAAGGTCACCCCCACGCCTGACCTGGCAGAGCCCCGTGGGAGGCAAGCCACAGGGCATCCCTGGTGGCTGCCTTTCCCAGCTCTAGGCACAGGAGACCAACAATGCCAGCATCAGGCGTCTGCAGGTCTCTGGAGGACACAGTTGCAAACTACGCAGACAGAGAGAAGCCAGCTGGCCTCTCCGGCTCCGGCTGCCACGCGTTGCTGGGAGGTGTCACTCACACCCCACGTGGAACAGGCTCTCGGGCCACACTTCCACACCTCTGGCTGGCACTTCAGCAGAGAGTTTTTCACTGTTTTAAATTAAAATGCAGATAAGGCTTGCATTAGTTTGAGTAGAAAAGTTTAGCACCAACTCAGGTCTTTCATAAAATATACAAGAATACGTGACGTACCAGAACACAGAGAAGAGACAAATTCACACTTAAAACACAGTGATGAAGTCAGTCATCAAGAAAACGGCAACATCCAAATCATCAACACTCTTTCTAAATTGAAGTCTTATAAAGCATTTAGTATTGCATTGCTTTTCAAACAACCCCTTATCTAACAACCCACTAGTCTCGGGGTAGACTCTGGAGAGGTTGATCCTGCCCAAGTAGAAGGCCAGCAGGAAACACCTGCAGAAGTCACAGCCAGGGAGACGCTGGGGCAGGGGTGATGGTCCAGTGGGTGTGGACACATCTGCGTTCTGAGCGTGGCAGTGGCTTTGGCCAAAACTCACCTGATGGTCACTGTCAATGAGTACAGTTTCTCATGTGTCAATAATGTGTCTGTAAAGGTCACTTCTCACAAAGTGCTCCTGTCCAATGCCAGCCTGAGAGAATGGGGAACCCTTCGGGCTCTTGGCTGAGGGTTTGCTTCACCTCCACAACCGCTCTGAAGCCAGTGCCAGGCCTCCTGAAGCTCAGGAGTGAGGAGGAAGTGCCAGGTTCCAATATGAGGCTGCTCCAAACTCCTGACAGGCCATGCAGGAGCCAAAAACCCAGAGGGGCTCGCCTCAGGGAGCACTTGACCACCCAACTAATGGGATCGTGAGACACCCAGGAACTTGCTTCTCGGACCAGGCACTGCCCCTCAAATCTACTTTCCCTTGCCAAGAGCCCAAAACGATTAAATATATATATATTTATTTAAACAACGCAGCACCAGAGAATAAGGAAGGGGACTGTGCTGGGTGTGGCAGCGTGCCTGTCATCCCAGCTACTCAGGGGGCTGAAGTGGGAGGATCACGAGTGCCCCCAAATTGGAAGCCAGCCTGGGCAGCACAGCAAGACCTCATCTCTGAAAAAGTAAATAAAAGGAAGCAGTATATATTTTAGTCCATGTTCTACCGCTGTAACAAATAGCCCAGACTGGGCAATTTATAAAGAACACAGTTATCTGGCTCAGCAGAGCCTGCCAAGGCCAAGATCAAGAAGCTGCATCTGGAGGTGAGGGCTTCTTGCTGCATCACACCGGGGCAGAAGATGAACCAGCGGGCGAGGCAGGGGGAGGACACGGAGCAAACGCACGATTTCCATCCGGAACCCACTCCTGTGGTAAGAAACCTACTGTCGAGAGAACGACATCATCCATTCACAAGGGCGGAGAAAAATCACCTCCCAAAGGACTCACTTCTTTTTAGAGACGGGGACGGAGTCTTGCTCTGTCACCCAGGCTGGAGTACAATGGCATGATCTTGGCTCACTGCAACGTCCACCTCCCAGGTTCAAGGGATTCTCCTGCCTCAGCCTCCCAAGTTGCTGGGCATATGCCACCACACCCAGCTAATTTTTGTATTTTTTAGTAGAGATGGAGTTTCGCTATATGTTGACCAGGTTGGTCTCCTAACCTCAAGTGATCCGCTCGCCTCCCACCCTCGCCTCGGCCTCCCAAAGTGCTAGAATTACAGGCTGGGCCACCTGCCTGTTGCAAACTTTACGCAGACAGAGAGAAGACCTCTGGAGAAGACCTCCACCCAAGGCCTCCTGTGCTAAGAGCAGAGTTCCTGGAGTTGGAAAGTCCTGTCCCCCAAGCCCTGCCACCCTGCAGAGGCCCAGTCAGGGGAAAGCCCAGGCCCACCCCATCCAGAGACACTCCCACCAGCTCCTGCTTCAAAGTCCCTCAGTCACTGTCACACATACAGAGCAGCACACATGTGAGGAAATCACAAGAAGATGCCCACACAGAGGACAGCACAAGGGGTGGTAAGGGCATGAGACCACACTGGGCACAAGAGAACTTACAGAAACCGAGTCGTGGCTTTGAGAGGGCCCGGGACGCCACGAGACTCTGTGGCCCTTCTGTCCCACACTCCCGGACAGACCCCCCCAGCCAGACCTCCCCCACAAGCCCAGCTGTGTGTCCTGCTAATCCTGGCATGGAAAGGGGTGCCCTGCAGGGGTGTGGCAGGAGGGTCCTAAGGAGGCCAGTACATTTCACCCAGTGTCACTGCTGTGCTTGATGGCAGATGGGGGGCCTCCAGGTGGGCCTGATCTAACCCCATGTGCCGCTGAAAAGCAGTTTCCTTCAGGTGGTGACAGACGGAGCGTCAGAAACTGGATCCAGGTGCCTCTGCTGGCTGAGAGGATGAAGGGCCACGTGGAAGGGCACGGAGAACAGACTGTAGCTGACAGCCAGCAAGAAAATGACCCTCGGTCCCACGGCTGCAGGGACTGGCCCAACCCCCGGAAGCCCGGTGCCTCGAGACAGGAGCCCAGCTGGCCAGCGCACCCCGACTCGGCCCCTGAGCCCCTAAACTCAGGGCATCTGACCTGCAGAACTGTGAGCTATGACCAGGCGTTGTTTATGCCTGCACAGAACACTCGCGGCTGGGTTAGAGGGCAGAACCTTGGTCTCCAGGGCAGCAGCCAAGATCGCCCAAGGAGCCTCTCCTCAGGGTGTGGGTTCTCAGCTCACCACAAAACTACCCGCCAGAAGTCAACAGGTGGGCCAAGGAGCCTCTTCTGTTTAATGTTTCATTAGAGAAAATCTCAGACGCTCTCAGGCACGGCACCTGCTCCCAGAGCTCCCCCCCACCCCAACTGCTGGAAAGGCCGCGGCAACCTTACACCACCACCAGGTACACCTGCTCAGACAACCCGCCTGACCCAAAGACTAGCTTTACCTTCTGTGTCTTTCATCCGTCCCAGCGTGCCAGCTCCCCAAAACTTTACTAGGGCCAATGCGTTTTCTTTCAAAACAACAGGTAACATTTCTCTTTCCAATAAAACCCTAGCACGCTCTTTGTTTTGGGAACCAAAGACCACCCAGGTCTGTGTGTATGCCTGAACTGCAATACTGCAATTCTGTTTTCCCGAATAAAACATTTTCTTTAGAGATTCGTGTGTGTGTGTGTGTGTGTGTGTGTGTGTGTGTGTNCAAGTCTCAGCAACTCAGTTTCCCTTCGTGGAGGTTGCTACTGTTACCAAATCACAATATACTCTTCCAGAGATAGTCTATACTTATACCAATAATTAAGTACCTATATTCCCTATGCTCCCCAGTATTTTTTAATAAGAGGTTCTCACATATATGTATATATTTTGACTTGGTGTTAGTGTGTGTGTGTGTGTATATGTATTTTTTTTTTTTTTTTGAGATGGAGTCTTGCTCTGTCACCCAGGTCGGAGTGCAGTGGCTCAACCTCAGCTCATCGAAACCTCCGCCGCCTGGGCTCAAGTAATTCTCCTGCCTCAGCCTCCTGAGTAGCTGGGACTACAGGCACGCATCATCACACTCAGCTAATTTTTGTATTTTCAGTAGAGACGGGGTTTCACCATGTTGACCAGGCTGGTCTCGAATTCCTGACCTCAGGTGATCTGCCCGCCTTAGCCTCCTAAAGTGTTGGGATTACAGGTGTGGGCCACGGCACCAGGCCTCATCTGTGTATTTTCATTTGACTTTGACAAGTATTAATAAACTCCCACAAGCCCATTACACCAACTCAAAACTTACCAGCTGACATCCCATCTCTTTCCACTGAGTGCCCACCCTCTCCTCTCCCCACTGGGTTCTTCCCAGCAACTCCGACAGAGCATCGTTTCACCGGCAGGCATTTCCAATTATCTCCAAAGATGAGAAGTCCTCCTCAAAGACCACAGCACGGCTGACTTCAGCAGCACATACACACTAAAACCAGAACAATACAGAGAAGACTGGCATGGGCCCTGTGTGAGGATGACAGCAAATTCGTTAAGTGTTCCATTAAAAAAAATTAAAGAACACGACCACTATGACACTATCGCACTTTCTTTATTTTATTTCATTTCATATTTTAAGACTGAGTCTCGTTCTGTGGCCCAGACTGGAGTGCAGTGGCACAATCTTGGCTTACTACAACCTCCGTCTCCCAGGTTCAAGCGATTCTTTGGCCTCAGCCTCCTGAGTAGCTGGGATTACAAACACCCACCACCATGCCCAGCTAATTTTTGTATTTTTGGTAGAAACGGGGTTTCACCATGTTGTCCAGGCTGGTCTCAAACTCCTGACCTCAGGTGATCTTCCCGACAAGGCCTCCCAAAGTGCTGGAATTACAGGCGTGAGCCACTGCACCGGGCCCACTACCACACTTTAAAAAACCAAATTCCTTTGTGAGGCTGAGGCAGGTGGATCACAAGGTCGGGAGTTCAAGACTACCCTGACCAAAATGGTGAAACCCCGTCTCTACTAAAAATACGAAAATTAGCCAGGCGTGGTGGCACACACCTGGAATCCCAGCTACTCGAGAGGCTGAGGCAGGAGAATCACCTGAATCCGGGAGGTAGAGGTTGCAGTGAGCCAAGATTGCACCAATGCACTCCAGCCTGGGCAACAGAGCGAGACTCTGTCTCAAAAGAAAAAAAAAAAAAAAAAAACCAAAAACCAAATTCCTTATTATCGACTATCCACAGAGTACGCAAATTCCCCAATTGTCTCACCATTTAAAACAATCTTTCTGTAAATCACAATTGAAACAAAGTGCAATGCATTTGAATAGGCTTTTGGGTTCTCTTTTTATTTTTAATGTAATCTCATTTTGATTTTTAGAACACTTACTATTTTAGAAAATTTCAGGCATGTGCAGCAGCAGAATTATAAGCACTCCCTACTGACAGAGACTGTCCTTGACCAAACTTGAGTCTGGCTCCTGAGTCCCCGTCTTTGGCAAGGCCTGACCTTGGCTTAGACCTTGACCTACTTCATCCAGTTTTAGCAAGACTCCCGCTGGTGCTGGTCGGCTCAGTGAAAACCCCTAACGCTTGGTATCTGATCTCCCCCAACATTTTCCAACTCTGCTTCTCAGCTTACATCCCACGTGTCCTTGTTGTATTTGGGGTTGGGCTCAATCTCTCTCCTCTACTGCAAAACCCCATTACAGCAGCATCTCCTGTAAAAGTCAGCCTTACCATCTTTAACAAGTGTCATAAAAACTTCCTGGCCAGGCACAGTGACTGACTCCTGTAATCCCAGCACTTTGGGAGGCCGAGGTGGGTGGGTCACCTGACATCAGGAGTTTGAGACCAGCCTGACCAATATGGCAAAACCCCATCTCTACTAAAAGTACCAAAAAAAAAAAAAAATTAGCTGGGCATGGTGGCACAAACCTGGAATCCCAGCTACTTGGGAGGCTGAGGCAGGAGAATCACTTGAACCTGGGAGGTTGAGGTTGCAGTGAGCCAAGATCAGGTCACTGCACTGCACTCCGGCCTGGGGGACAAGAGCAAAACTCTGTCTAAAACAAACACACAAAAAAGCTTCTTTAACACCAGGCATCTGTCACCCAGTCTTAGTCTTAAGATTCTTTAGCCCAGCCAGGCGCAGTGGCTCACGCCTGTAATCCCAGCACTCTGAGCGGCCGAGGCAGGCTGATCACAAGATCAGGAGATTGAGACCAGTCTGGCTAACTCAGTGAAACCCCATCTCTACTACAAATACAAACAATTAGCCAGATGTGGTGGCACGCACCTGTAGTCCCAGCTGCTCAGGAGGCTGAAGCAGAAGAATCACTTGAACCCAGGAGGCGGAGGTTGCACTGAGCCAAGATCGTGCCACTGCACTCCAGCCTGGGCGACAAAAATTTTGTTAACCCACAGAAAGCACACAGACTTTTCAAACTACAGGTAACACTAAACAGCTAGGTATACAAGGACACTTCCTTAACCTAATAAAAGACTGCATATGCAATGGTCAAAGACAGGAAGCTTCCCACTAAAATCAAGGGCATGGTGGCGCGTTCCTGTAATCCCAGCTCTTTGGGAGGCTGAGGTGGGGGAATCACTTGAACCTGGGAGGCAAAGGTTGTAGTGAGCCAAGATTGTACCACTGCACTCCAGCCTGGACGACAGAGTGAGACTCTCTCTCAAAA